AATTAGGGGGCCAGTGCATGCATCTTCAGGAGGCCTCAAATGCCTCTACACTAATGCTCGTAGTATGGGGAACAAGCAGGAGGAACTCATCCTCCAGCTAGCTAACACCAACCCAGACATAGTGGGGCTCACCGAAATGTGGTGGGACCCAATGCACAAGTGGGCGGTGAATATCAAGGGCTATAGGCTGTACAGGGCAGGGAGGAGAGGTGGGGGTGCGGCGCTCTACGTCAAGGAGAAATACATATCCTCAACAAGTGGCACTGGGTCAGAGGAGGGGCACACTGAAGTGCTGTGGGTTAGAATACAAGGAAGTTGAGGGGAAAGGGACTTAACGGTGGGGGTCTACTACAGACCACCCAACCAAGGGGATGAGCTAGACCAGGAATTCTTAAGTCAGCTCATGGAGGTAGTTAGGTCAAAGGACGTGGTCATCATGGGTGACCTGAACTTTCCAGACATCTGCTTGGAAGACCAGGCAGCCAGGTCTGACCGTTCACGTAGGTTCCTAGCTGAGATACAGGACCTCCATCTAACCCAGGAGGTGCACAGCCCCACCAGAGGAGACACCTTGTTGGATCTGATCCTGGCCATGGGCGACGACCTGGTGAGGGGTCTGCGGGTGCTTGACCACCTGGGCGACGGTGATCATTGCCTGCTGGAATTCACCATCCAGCGCAAGGTGGCAAAGGCCTGCAGCAAGGCAGCAGCCCTGGACTTCAGGAGGGTGGATTTCAATGAGGTAAAGAGAATAGTCAGGGAGGCACTGAGGTCCTGGAGGGGAGGGGAGTCGGGTGTCCAGGAAGAGATCCTCCAAGCCCAAAGGGAGGTAATCCCAATGCAGATCGAAGGGGGCAAGACCGCGCAAAAGCCCCCATGGCTCACCAAAATCATACGGGAACATCTCCTAGCTAAAAAGCAGGCATACACCCAATGGAAGGGAGGGGCCATCACCAGGGAGGACTATACCTCAGTTGCTCGGGGCTGTAGGGGAGTGGTCAGGAAGGCCAAGGTGGAGATGGAACTGGGACTAGCTACCCAGATCAAGGATAACAAGAAGTACTTTTTTAAATAAATAAGGGGTAAAAAGAACGTACTGGGTAACATAGGACCTCTGCAGGACACGCTAGGAAATCTGTTCGTTGCACCATACAGCAAATCTAACCTACTTAACAATTCCTTTGCCTCCATTTTTCTGAGCAGGGACCAGGTCATCCTCCTCACTGGGATCCCCGATGGTCCCAGGGGAGGTGCACCCAGGCCTAGGGTCAGTGAGGGAACTTCTGGAGGGACTGGACGTATTTAAATCAGCAGGTCCTGATGATCTCCACCCCACAGTGCCGAGGGAATTAGCAGAGGTCCTTGCTGGACCCCTGGCATGGCTTTATGAGCACTCATGTTGCTCTGGCAAGGTACCAGAGGATTGGAAAAGGGCCAATGTGGTTCCCATTTTCAAAAAAGGGAGGAAGGAGGACCCAGGAAACTATAGGCCAGTCAGTCTTACCCTCGGTCCTGGGTAAGCTTCTTGAGAGTTATCCTGACATATGTACGTGAGGGGCCAGCAGGGGAAATTATGCTTAGGGGTAATCAACACGGGTTTATTAGAGGCAGGTCCTGTCAGACCAACCTGGTGGCCTTCTATGACCTGGTCACAAAATCCTTAGACGCAGGTGTAGCAGTCGATGTAATCTTTCTGGACTTTAGGAAGGCCTTTGACACGGTCTTTCATCCCATTCTCATTCAAAAACTAGGGGACTGTGGCGTCGACACCTACACAGTAAAATGGGTCACTAACTGGCTGGAGGGCTGTGCCCAGAGAGTGGTGGTGGATGGGTCATTTTTGACCTGGAGGGATGTGGGTAGTAGGGTCCCCCAAGGCTCGGTCCTTGGGCCTGCACTGTTCAACATCTTCATCAGTGACTTGGACAGGGGTGTAAAAAGCACCCTGTTCAAACTTGCAGATGACACTAAGATGTGGGGAGAAGTGGGCACACTAGTGTCGCAACCAAATTAAGCAGTGCCCATGCCACAAGCAAGAGATACTATTTAAAGCAGTTTTATTTTGCACTAGGTTAACTAAGGGTTAACAAAATGATAGCAACAGCCTTCTCTGCTGTGCATGCCAACAAGAGATTTATAGCTGTGCCACTAACAGAAATGAAACTTTAACCTTCTGTGCTTTACATAAATCATTATAATTGGTCAGAGTGAACAGGGAGTAGCCCTGCGATAGAACCCTAGTGAAAACCGCTATATAATTGTGAATTCTAATTAAATTTATGACGCGGCGAAAAGCAATTGGCTATTACACAAATAAAACCCATTTTTACTTCCGCGAAGTTGGAGACCTCCGTACACACCTTGGAGACCTCTGAACATACGTGTCAGAGTAATTAGACAATTTGATCACTTGTCTAAGTTCCCCATCTCGACCCAATCTCAGACGTAAATCAACGACTGCCGGCCCGACCATTTCTGCCCGAACGCTTATGCAGACTGACCTAATGAACCCTAAGCTGTAACTAACCAAGTATCTCTGACCTCCGTCGCACGTCACTATCTGGGCGATGTAAGTAAACAATCTTGCTTTGTAACCGATAAGCGTCTGTGCCTAATTCCACTCCAAGCGTCACAAGTACCTGCCTGACGGGCCCCTTAAGGCCTTGAACCCCTCGCTGCAGTACATGGCAGCGACAACTAGAAGGGAGGAATAGGCTGTAATCGGACCTAGACAGGTTACAGGGGTGGGCGGATGAGAACAGGATGGGTTTCAACACTGACAAGTGCAAGGTAATACACCTGGGGAGGAATAACCAGCAGCATACCTACAGGCTGGGGAACTCCCTTCTCATCAGTGCAGAGGCAGAAAAGGATCTTGGAGTCATTATTGATGCCAAAATGAACATGGGTCGACAGTATGGGGAAGTGGTCAGGAAAGCCAACCATACCTTGTCATTCATCCACAGATGCATCTCAAGCAGGTCCAAGGAGGTGATCCTCCCCCTCTATGCGACACTGGTCAGGCCGCAGTTGGAGTACTGCGTTCAGTTCTGGGCACTACACTTCAGGAGGGATGTGGACAACATGGAGAGGGTCCAGAGGAGGGCCACCCACATGATCAGGAGTCAGCAGGGCAGGCCCTACAAGGAGAGGCTAAGGGACCTGAACCTGTTCAGCCTCCACAAGAGAAGGCTGAGGGGAGATCTAGTGGCCATTTACAAACTAGTCAGGGGAGACCAATAGGCATTGGGGGAGTCCCAGTTCCCCCAAGCACTACCAGGAGTGATAAGAAATAATGGTCACAAGCTGGCAGAGGGTAGATTTAGGCTAGATATCAGGAGGCGCTATTTCACTGTCAGAGTGGCTAGGATCTGGAACCAATTTCCAAGAGAAATGGTGCTGGCTTCTACCCTGGGGGTCTTTAAGACGAGGCTGCATGAACACCTCACTGGGGTCGTTTGACCCCAGTACTCTTCCCTGCCATGGCAGGAGGTTGGACTTGATGATCTGCTCAGGTCCTTTCCGACCCTGGCAACTATGAAACTATGAAAGCTCCCTGATTTTAACAGAACTACTCATATACTTAAAACTAAACTCTTGGTCTAGGTACAGACATTACAAAGGAACTGGTATAAGTGATTGGAAACTGGTCTAAACCTGTAACAGAACAGAAGTTCAGCATACAGACCGGTTTTAAAAATGGCAGAACCTGGTTTAAGATAGACTTGGATGGATATAGTATCAGATTTAAAATTGGTTTAGGTTCAACTTAGATCACAGTCCACTGGCATCCCAGGTGCCTCGGTAGGCCTCTGTTACTCCCCCCTTGCAGGGTGGTACACTAGCTTTGGTCACATGTGTCTGCTCTGGTCAAGCACCAGGCTGGCCCCACCCTCGGGCTGTCACAGAGATGACAGGAACCAGAACTGACAGCCACACAGTATCAGTGTGTGTGTGTGTGTGTGTGTGTGTGTGTGTGTGGAGGAAGTGGTGGGGTGGAAATGGAGCAGAGGTGCCTCCCAGCTGTGCTTTCTTGGTCTGAGGGTGGGGTCAAACCAGCACAAAGGGGGGCATCCACTCCCCCTCATCCTCCTCACCCCACTGCTGCTCAGCTTAGCTGACAGGGGCAGGCAGGGAACAGGGCTGAAAGCAATGCAGCCAAGCCATATCAGCCAAGCCAGGTAGTAGCAAGCAAGCAAGCAAGGGTGGTGAACTGGAGACCCCCTGCCATAGGCCTCCTAGGACCCAAGCAATTACAGCTGGGGCACGTCCTTGGGGTAGTGGCCTTCCCGCCCATGCCACCCAGTGCTGTATGGCTCTCAGCCCAGGCTCCTGCCATCTCTGTGACACTGAGCTGGGGGAGCCTCTGCCCCCTCATTCCCCTCCCCCCATACTGGCTGACTCATGTAACAGCCCTGTGCAGCTCTTGACCCCAGCTCCTTCCTGCCCATGTCAGGGGTAAAGGGTGGAGAGGAAGTCCTCACTGTACAGACCTGGTCCCAGCCCCATGCCCTCCAGACACAAACAAGCCCCCCCCCCCCCCCCCCAACTGCTGCTGACAGCCAGCTGCTGGGCGCAGTAGAGGGGCTGGGAAGAGAGACCATGCTGAGAGGCATGTGGGAATACTCCCCACCTAGCCTCAGTCAGTGCAGGCATCTACACATTCTCCCCCCTCCCCATTGAACAGTAAACATCTGTTCTGTTTGCTCCTGACTCTAGCTACTTAGAGAAAGCTGCTTAGGTTTGATCTATTCTGTCTCAGGGTTTTTGAATATCTGTACCTAGCCCTGAAGTTGATAAAGAGCATAATGCTATTTCCATCTTCTTGGAAGTTCAGTTTCAATCTAATTTAAAACAGAAATCCCAATGACCACTGGTGTGCAAGATTATGGACTGATAGTATACTGGAATCTACAAATGTATTTGCCTTGTTTTCCACAGTATCAAAACTTCATACAATAAATGGCTGGGAAAAAATTAAACTTCATGGAAGATTTTACCTTAAGTAATCTAATTGCTGTCATCCAACAGGTCCTACTCTGTTCATCATCTGCACAAAGCTGTTTCAGGTCTCTGGTTCCTCCTGATTTGTTAGGCTAGAAGGCCACAGCACATTGTTTAGCATTAATGCACATCGTGAAGATAATACCTGTTGAAATAAAAGCCACTAATTCTCCTATTTTATACCAGACAACTGAATCCTTTTAAAAAAGAATCGTAAAGGAACTTAAGCCTACCTAAAAATTGAGGCTTGCTTTAATATATAATCAAAATATTAAAATGTGTACCTTAAAGCAGAATCCATAGTTTGCTGGTGCTCCAGACATCTTTTTGCCTGCCAAAGACATATACATATCACTATTGCTGAATTCACAGAAAAACTGCAGATGCCTTGGTTCCTAAAAGGAAGAGCAATATAAAACATTAGGCTGTTCTTCCTTACTTAAAATCAAGGAAGCAAATTATACTTAATATTTATATTTGTAAAGCAAATACTATATGTACATTTATACTCCAGCCTATTTAAATGCATAATTTTATATTTGGGAAACAAAATTACAATCATATATAATATAGATCTACAAAAAATTCTCAACAACTCAGTTACCTATCACCTGTCACCATGTGATGTAAGTTCCTCAACTGACGTAACCTTTGCTGAATGCCAAATTTTGACCGTATTTTAATGTATAAAAATGCAGTTCTTAAGTAGTTAGGGCTGCTGCACACACCACACCCTGATACAACCATGGTGTATCACCTCCAGTACTTATATCCTGTTCCATCAATCACAGGCATACATTGTACCATTACTACATGTACCATAAACTTAAATTTGCCTTCATTTTTATCCTTCTATACAAACACCTTTGCCAGAATCATTGCCGACTATTATACATAGTTGACTGGGTTGGGCAGGGACTGTTTGGTAAAAGGTTATGTGCACAACGGAGCAATAGAAAGCTAGGCAAAAAAAAAATTGAAAAGTTAGAATAAGGGTTTGTTGAGTTCTCTGGCTGAGGTATAGATAAAGTGTATAAGGTGGCAGCAGTGCAGTAGAAGACAATTTTATCTGTCAACAGGTATGCACGAATCTCTGTTATATAATAAGATCTGATGAAAAAGTGTAATTCTTCACAGAGAATTAGAAGTACCACCACTTCACCAACCATTCAGGTTTGCATGTGCCCCCCTCCCAATTACCACCAATCAGGCTCACATGTTCATTTCTCCCTCTCTCAATCAGATTTGTGTGTACATTCGGGTTTGTGCATATAGTGCATAAACTTTCATATGTAATATGCATACGGCTAAAAACACCAAAAAAACCCAAACAAAAAAATTAAATCGTATTTATTAAAGCTTGGGTAAAATTGTTGCTCTCCAGCCAGGGGCTGTGCATGTGTAGCTCCTCAGAGAGCTTTATTTTATTTATGGGGCTAAAAACTTGGTAGCTCTACAGAATGAATAACTGTCACGATCCATTGCTGGACAAGTTTTCTCCAGGCCCCAATCTTTTAGCAAGTTTTGTGCTGATAGACAAATTTTATAGATAATAATCAACAGTAAAAAGAGTGCCTGAAGACAGCATTCACTTATAGCCCAAATTCTGAAGGTGTAACTATTAAAAATGCATGGAGAGATACTAAATAAATCAATGGGCACATCTACACATGCAATTAATGCACATGAATAAACTCCAGAGAACATTGCTCTGGAGCTTTCTGTGTACAGCACATGGAGCCCCATAAGAGCAGCCCAGGCTGGCTGGGGACCCAGAGGGTCAGCCTGCCAGACTAGGGGTGCTCTGACAGGGCTTCATGTGCACATGGAGCATGAAGCCCTGTTGGAGCAGCCCTGAGCTTCCTGCTCCCCCCAGCTCTGTGTGCTGCGGAGTGGCTGGCTGGGTCACAATGGTGCTTTGATGCTGGGTCTGCCTCCTAGCTAGCCCCGTACTGAAGCACCATGCCTGAGCCAGCTGGGGCAGTGTTTAAATATGCACTGCTGCACATGAAAAAAAAACTCTGCAGCAAGGTGGTACTTTACAAAAATACCCGGCTGAGGATTTTACTAATTTTGTGTGCCATAATAGGGGTGCATGTGTAGACACCGAGATGTTTACTGCACAGTTAATTAATCAACTGCACAGTAAATATCTTGTGTAGACACGCCCAGTGAAGAACATTTTTAAGGGCACAAAAACTACCCTGCTGGAAATTACCAATTGGTCACCTATATTTAAAAGACAGAAATTTATATTCATTTTAAAGCTCATTTTAGAACACATTCCTAATTACTCAGTGGCATGATTATGAATAGGCATCTGATACATTTTTGTTGACAGGTTGGGTAGATAAACTTTGCTTTGAGGGAGCTGCCTTTTTCTCTTATCAAAAACTAGAACGTACGATTTTAAATTATGGTGTACCGAGACATGAAAATAGCATTTTCTTATCTATAAAAAATCCACATATATTGACTCTGAAGACATTTACAAAAATTAAATCAGAACTTATTTTTATAAGACAATTAACAAGTTAGAAACGGTATAGTAAAGATTATTATACAGAACATCTCCCAGTTTCACGGAAGGACAACAGTATGCATCACCATCTCTTTTACACAGGCAGGCTAGTTAGATGATAATAACTATGCTAGTCTAAAGCTTTTATTCAAAACAGCAGGCTTCCTGATAGTCCAGTGGTCTCAGTGACTACAGAAATCCAGAAAAGGGCCACTCCAAATTTACCTGCTGCAGCAGAGGAAAATGCCCCAAACTAGACTGAGCCAGGAAGCTGGGGGGCAGGGGGTAAGGCAGTTATGTTTGGGCTTGGCTTCTTTCTCCAGGAAGAAAAAAAAATATAGCACCAATGATGTAATTCCTTGAAAAATATACATGAAATCTTGGTCACAAAATATGCAGGAATGAGTCTTTAGCTCCTAAAGTTTAAGAACTTTTGGAATCACTTTGCTTTTAGCATTTCAAAACTATGAAATTAAAAATATTCTTAGAAATTTAAAACAAAAAACAAAACACAAATATTACAGCAATTACTGTCCCGTTTTGTTTCTAAGTGCTGCTTCTATCCTCTGTGGGTAACCAAGTCAAGGAAATAAGCAAAAAGAAACTTGTTACCTCAAGGATAACTCTGGGAATACAGTGACAGTTTGCACAAATATTCAGAAATACACAAGCCCTGAAGAATGGCATGCGTGCCCAAAAGCTTGCCAAGAAAGATAATCATTTACTATTTTCTTGTTGGTCTAATAAAAGATGTCACCTCTGAACCAAGAGTTTTAGAGTTTTGTATTCCAGAAATACATAAGCCACTTAATTATGTGCATTACATAAAGTTATTTCATTACCACTGTATCCTGTTTAAGCATAAGAGTTAATAATAAGGCATGCAAGCAATAACAGCCATAAACAGTTGCCTGTGTTCTACTCAGAATCCTCAACAACTAGATCAGACATGTGGAATTTATTTTTAAAGAGCTAAGTTATAAACTAGCTGAAGGAAATCAATTTGTTAGTAAGAAGTTCTTCCAGAAAACTACTCCGATCTGGCCTTTCTCCGAATTCTTGCTTTCACTCATCTAAACCTGCAATGATACATATTTTGCCATAAAAATGAACAATGAACATAAAATTTGGGTACAAAGAGATTTTCCTTTAAATAATCATGGACTGTAATATATTTCTAATAAAACTACAGTATATGAAGACACATGCACATAAGTATATGACATACACTTGTCATATACTTATTTACCTCTATGTTGCTGTTTAGTTTTACCTTTGATGTCCCTTTAGTAGAAAAGTATAGTCCGGATCTTCTCAGGAGAAAGTAATTTTTTTTCCAAGATTTCTTCCCTTGTTCCTTTGCATGCAGGTAACCATGAATTTCCGGATATGTGCTGGAACTGAGGAACATCTGAAAGAAATTCCCATATGAAACATTATCCACATGAAACAAACTTTTGACTCAATGGCATGTAATTCTAACATTCTGGCCTGCATTTATGCTACTACTTCTTCAATTTTGTAATGTAAATTACACACACATCTCAGGACAGCCTATTTATAACATCATGAGATCCTAGATTAATCTTTTAAACATGGATTTGAATCTTTCAAAGATGCATCAGAAAAGTAGAAATATAACATGTGAAAATTAAAATCATGCATCTTTAAAGAAAGGCTTATACAACTTCAAATATTTCACAGTCATTCATTCAGGGATTTGTAAATTTAATTAGCATAATTAAGGAGATAGTAAAAGCCATATCCCCCAATTTCAACTATAACCACCTGAAAAAAATGCTTGAAAGGAAGTTGAAGAGAGTAAGTTTATAAGAGGTTGGAACATACCATCAGTTTGGGAGTTGGCATGCATATCAGTATGCATATATACACAGCCTCTCTCTAACCAACACACACAGATACACACTTAGAATACTGACTCAAGATATCATTAAAACATGCATAGATCTTGAAATGCAAATTAAGATACAAGCACTCCAAGGGGAAAAAAAAAGTCTGAGCTGCATTGTTTCCAAGTAAGCTAGCTTAAGAAGTTTTCTAAATCCTTGAAAGGATAAAAAAAACATTTATTTTTATGGATACTTTGTAGATACCTACAGAGTGTTGCCATAACCTTTTGTTCAAATGTGTCTCTACATTGTCACAAATATTGAAGACACAAGGAAGCAAACACCATTTATTATAAAAGAACTGGCCTTTAGTAGACAGATGAAGGTACACATACTCCATAAAGTGTGTTCCTTATTACTTCAATGCATTGTCCTTGATATTTGTATTGAATTTTCCAAAGAGAATATATCATCCTTTTTGAAAGAATGCCCAAGGAACTATATGAGATACTAGAACACCTCCTAATTCAACCCAATAAACAGATTCAGCTTCAAGCTGGGGTTCTCAATCCATTTTTGTTCACACAAGTCTCATCTTGGAGTCTTTTGTGTCAGCCCTAACGCCCATTCAAAGGGTTTGAGGTACCTGGGAAAAGAAAATCACTCTTTTGTACAACTGCCAAACTATTCCCAGCAAGATTATTGCTCTCTCCCCTCTGCAAGGTGTCATATCATCTCTTCCTCTGAAATGAATGCTTTCAAAACCTCTCAAATATTACACACTCTGCCCTGTCCTGTAGATCCATATTAAAGAAAGTGAGCTCTCCTGTGATCAGCACTCTATTGTTTCTATACAAGAACAAACAGAAAAAAAACTAAACTATTGCAACTACTATTCATTTTCACCTTCCCACCACATCTCTTCCCCACCCCGAGCC